GCTATTTTTTATCATTAATCTAAAATTCAAATTTCATATCTTCCTACGAGAAAATTACTAGTAGAATATATAGTGGAAGAGTGTGTCATTTCTAAAGAACTCAGTGGGAAAATGATTATGTATGGAGTTTGAGGAGCTAAACTTTCTGGCCGTTTTTTTTCAATGGAACCACAACTTACCCATCACTCGATCCCAACAGACTGGCATCGAAATTTCCCGCCGCTTAATTTCTTCAGGCATCCGTTTTACATGGTTATTCTAGTATCAGTGGTGTTTCCGAATTCTACGTCATGGCATTGTTTATAATTATTGGCAAGCTTGGCCATGACACTAGCTTCGTTACAAAAGAACCAGAGATTGTTTAGCTTGTGTTTTAAAGGTTTCAACACGTGAGAGCGTTTTCAAAATATTGGCTTGGTGCAACTGTTCGACCTAGAATACATTTGCTGACAGTCATGTCGGTTCATGACCACATCTTGGGTAGTACTGTAAGAAAACGAGAAAATGACAAACACAGCTTAGAAAGAAAGAAAGAGAGAGAGAGAGAGAGAGAGAGAGAGAGAGAGAGAGAGAGAGAGAGAGAGAGAGAGAGAGAGAGAGAGAGAGAGAGAGAGAGAGAGAGAGAGAGAGAGAGAGAGAGAGAGAGAGAGAGAGAGAGAGAGAGAGAGAGAGAGAGAGAGAGTGAGTGAGTGAGTGAGTGTGTGAGTGAGTGAGTGAGTGAGTGAGTGAGTGAGTGTGTGTGTGTGTGTGTGTGTGTGAGTATGTGTGTGTGTGTGTGTGTGTGTGTTGTGTGTGTGTGTGTGTGTGTGTGTGTGTGTGCGTGAGCATGTGTGTGTGCGTGAGCATGTGTATGTGCGTGAGTGTGTGTGCGCGCGAGCGCGTGTATGTGCATGTGTAGACAAATATCAAGAAAGGAGTTGAAAAGATGTAACTCCCTCTCTCTCTCCCCCCCCCCCCTCTCTCTCTCTCTCTCTCTCTCTCTCTCTCAAGTGAACGAGTGCGTGTTCATGAAATATCTGTGAAGATCCAAAGCTACTTACAGTGAAAGTGGAAAAAAACATTAATGAATTCAAACCAGATATATGTGTAGTTATGTGAGGAATCTGTGCGGTCTCTACGCTAACCGCACCCCAGTAAATACGTGAGGTCTGTTTGTGTGCGACATTTCAGCGAATGATCTGACCTCAGAACACCTGTGTATACAATGGCTACCCAAGCCGGGTTTTCTCTGTTGACGGAGATGGACATCTCAGCAAGTGATACGAATACTGAGAACGAACGAACAAAGAAAAAAGCAAAAAGACAATTGAGTAATGAGTCTGCAGAACTTGTATCCCCCAGCCATATGTGTGCCTATTTCAGGAGGGACACGAAGCTAGTGACACATGGGGACAAATACCGTTGGGTGTCTCAAGTGCTGAAGATGGCTCCTTATAACAAGACTAAAGGAGCCCTAGAATTAAGACTAGGTCGAAATAATATCTACGTACGCTGTAAGAATGAAGAGAAAATCCTCGAAATGAGCAGAGCTTATGGCAGAGGACACTACACTAACCTCGTTGTGTTCGATGTCCCGAGGGAAATTGACACCAGTGAGATCACCGAATACAATGAAAAGCTTATACACGCTAAACGCATTCAATTTAACGGTAGGATGACACAGCGGCTCATTATCACTTATGAAGGGGAGAAAATCCCCCAAACCATCAAAATTGTGGAGGGTATGGCACCTTTCAGGTGCGCTGTCTTCAAATCCCTCACCCCATTTTGCGCCAACTGTTCCAGATGGGGGCACGGGGCACTCGCCTGTCCCCGCGAGGAGCCGCGCTGTCGGTACTGCGCGGCCACTCACAGGAGCAGGGAGTGCGCCGAAAAAATTGCACAGGGTAATCGACTCCCAAGGAAATGTGCCAATTGCAGACTTGAACATAATGCAAACTCTCCATTATGTGCATACTATCCGAACGATAGAAAAAAACAAATTGCTAAAGAAACAACAGGTTGTTCTACCTTCTCGCAATCCCAAGCCATTTCCTCGTCTTAACGATGAGGCCGAATTCCCCCAGCTTGGGAGGATAAATGTGGCGAGGTAT